ACATATGACACTCGTTCGTTTAAAAACTATGCTATGCGATCGTATACCGACGCTTTGCAATCGGTCAGGTATCTTCATGACGACGCGATCTTTCATTCTTCTGCGCCTACTAATCGAATTTCATCAGACTCATGGTCAACAAAAGACACTGAACATAGCTGCATTGATAAAAGTGCCGAGACCGGGTGATCTCATCAACGATGTCTGGCAAAGCACAGTTTCGCGGTCAAATCACGCTTTATGAAAGGCGACAAAATCTACCGACCCCTTACCAATAACGAGATTACTGATCCGAAAATTTTAAATAAGAATGCAGGAAGAGATTTAACAAAGCAGCATGATCTCTTATCATCTCATTCTCTGGTAGGTTTTCAGAAATTTGATTTCGTTTTGATTACCATTAGAAGCAACATTAGCGTGTTTTTCAGTGACGAATAAGCAGACGCAGGAAGGAAAAAAAGCGAGAATAAAAAAATAAAAATATGAAAACCATTATAACCCGCCACAAATGCTTCCTCGGGAGCGATACCAAAAAAATGCCCTCACAAATATCGCCTCATACAGACGCATAAGATAATTGAAGCGGCAAAGTACCGACTGGACATATTTGAAACCTGGTCAACAAAACGTTAGCGCTCCGCAGTCCTACACCTGAGCAGATGGAAACTATTATACTGAAGTGTCGAGATCGCGATGTGCCTTCAGGCCGGTGTTGGAGTTCTGGTAGAACCCAACATGACAGAGAATCAACAAATAGAAGCCTATCAGCGGATGAGTGCAAATCCTCCCACTTAAACTATAACAGGCCACAGCTTTGACTTTGTTATACTTCGGTATGTCCAGTCAATAGACAATGAGTAACTGCACGACGTGCTGACTAGAAACCATACTCGTAATACGCATGTCAAAGCAGACACTGAAAGGCGTGATTGAAAAAAACGGCCCTAGCGACCTCAACAATAACGACATGAAGTTGCTACGCTTTTGTGCAAACAAAGACTGTCTGGTATGCACAAATTCGAGGGTCAAAGCGTGCATTAGCACACCCGGCACTGGGAGCTTCTGCACAGAAACCGATGACCGATTTCTTAATTGTATCTTCTGTCTTACGACGCTCTGTAATGTGTGTGCGGAGAGGCGCACTGCTGGTGACCGATCACCACCGTGTTTGTCAGACGCTACGCTGTCAGAAACGGAGCATCGTGTTGCGACTGGTCACAGAATAAACAGAGAATCAAATGGAAAACGTTATCTTCGGCGGATACGAGAGTGAAACTTGCAAACAACATCGCAAAACGGATTGAGCAGATTCTGGAGATGACCACTGATGTGCAAACCGAAAAGGAGCTCTTTAAGAGCGGCTTACTCAGGGCCGCTGCAGAATGCTGCGGATTTAAACGGGTTAGTCTGCCGCCTGGAAGTCAGAAAAATAACTTCTTGGTGGACCAGAGAATTACTGACAGTTAAATAGAAGGCTGCATTAAAGAAATGGCTTGGAAGCAAAGAGCCTTCTATTCAAATGCGATATGTCGAAGC